GGTACCTAGGCATTCAAAGTTCTATGCTCGCACTAACCAACTAAGGATTATCTGGCATCTGTTAAACAAGCAATAATGCAGATTTGTCAAAGAAAAAAATTAGGTAGATTCCAATGGCATAATATAACTAAAGTCTGCCCATTAATGAGATTTTAGTGATGTTAACATCCAAAAAGAAAAAGAAAAAAGATAGATTCATACAGAGTGTTTAGCCTGTCGTGTTCCAAAGTTTAGGGTCAGATTCCGGATCTTGTCCGACCTCTTAATTTGCGGGGTGTTCTCCACTTCCTTTGGCTCTTCATATACTGCATCTTCATATTGTAGCCCTCTAACTCTTGGTTCCATTCTAAAAACCTGCAAATAAAGAAATTTGCACATAGTATGTCACTAACAAAAGAATAAAAACCAAAAGAAAACTTTTTAAAGACAGGAATAACTGATTTCACCAAAAACCAGAAACAGATAAAACTGGAACAATAGCATGAATGTTTAGAAATGCATGTGTGATCCAAATCAGCATGAATGCTTCTAGAGACATGATGTTTCGAGACGCACACAAGTTAGCAAGAACAACGGCAATAAAAACAAATTCTCCATGAAAAAACAATAACAAAAACATCATAATTTCCATTGAACCCTCACCTTGTCTCCAGCAATGGGAACAACAGTTAGGATTTGTTTCTCTTTGTCAAGAACACCTAAGGCATAGCTGCAGGATTGGGAAACAGCTGCTTCACCTGTGTAATTCGTGCCGACAAAGTCCACATTGGAGCCTTCGGGGCTCACAACAACTTGCATGCACCAGGACTTGTAATTGGGTACGGCCCGATATGCCTTAATTTTCAGCTCGCCGTCATTTTTGTTGTGCCTTAAAGGATCAAAACCAGAGGGAAAGTACCCCACACAGGGCGCGATGTAAGAATCCAAAGCCTCTGCAACGTCGAGTTCTACCTTGAGTTTCTTGCGCTTGCGCTCGCGCACTGTCTGAGCATGGCTATCTTCTCCCATGGGGATCTGGGAAGGGATTGCAGGTTTAGGGTGCGTTTGATAACTTTCTCTGCAATTCCCTAGGATTCTCCCTGCTGCTGACTTTCTGGAATCTGGGAAAAAGTGAAAATTGGTAGACTGAAAGCTGAGAACCCTGTTTAATAAAGCATGGTGCTGTTATTTTTGCCTCTTTGGTAATGTTGATGCTGGGAAAGCACAAAACATCATGTTTTAGCCGTTCACTATGAATTTCCAAGATTTGATGCATGTAATGTATATTTTTCGAATAGGATTTTCTTACTACTACCTATCTAATGCATTTCTTACAATGTATGGTTAAGATTGAAATTTAATCTCGCATCTATGTAAATTAAGAAATAGCCTCAATGAAATTGCAACAAGTATAAGGAACCAGAGAGGTGGAGTTAATCACCCAGAATTCTTAAGCAAAGTGAAACTAAAAGAAAGTTCCCTATCACGATACCTCTACAATTATTATGAATCAACAAGCAAGATACATGAAAAAATAATATAGAGACTAAAAGAACTAAATTGCCTATGAATATTACAAAGAAAGAAAAATAACAGTTATATGAACCGAGAGGGTTAAAATTAGAGAAGTGTCACAAATAATTTTACTAAAAGAACAACATCAATAAATTGTATAGATAAATACTTGGTATACAAGCATAACACAGTATTGTGTGCACCGCATAATATGTATTAATAAAGAGAAAATTTCAAAACCAGAACGTGAGAAATCAACACGCCACAACATCTAAAGCAGAAACTAAACTACAACAAACCAAAGCAGGTAAAATAGTTCAAACTTACAACTTCCAAACTGAATTATATGGCAAACATCCCAATTCAATCTAGAATGAACTTGTCACATACATAATGAAGTAAAAACAATTAAAATTTTCAATTTCACGGCTTTCTATTACCCAGTTAAAAATTACGCCATTTCAACAACAGCATAACAAAACTAAACCCAGACCTTGGCAAAAGTAACCAGAAAAACCCAAGAATATATCATTCTGCAAAGGATATTCCACCATAAATTTCAACCCAATGAGTACAAAAACCAAATAACAGAAAACCCCATAAATTATATAAGCAAATGACAATAGAATAGAACCCAGTTTTATAAATATCAAATCCTACTGCATAATACAACCTCCTAAATAAGCTTTCATCAATAAATAAAAATAAAAAGAATAAAAGGTCATTTAGATTATTAACTCATAAAACCAAATGAAAATTAGTTTAATGACACAACACAAAAACATCAACAACAATGATAGTAACAATGATCAATTAATAAAACATTTAAAACCCAAAAAACATTACATAATAGAGACAAAATCAAATTAATCAAACTCTCGAGCCCCAAATACTACTTCTCAATAAACAGAAAGCCCACATCAAATTTTATGTGACAAACTAGAAAATTAAAACATAAATAATAAATACATAAACTCTGTGAATATGTATTAATCTTGTCTGGGTTTGATCGAAACAAAAAATCAAATAAAAAAGCTCTCAGTAGACTTGGGGTTAATCTTGTTTGAGGTTAATCAAAGAAAAAAAAAAAAACCTAAAATCAAAAATAAAATCTCATTTAGATCTGTGATTATCTTTTTTGTGCTCTAAACAATAAAAAAGGACTCACTGTAGCTTTCTATGAGCTCTTAGCTTGCGGCAATGGGGGCAATAAGGGGAATAAACCTGAGAAAGGAGGACAGGAGTTACTGCAGATTGAGCTTCGTTGGGGCGAGTGGCAATGGATGGTTGACTTGCTAGGGTTCTGAGTGAGAAATTAGAGACTTGCAAATTAGGTTAAAGGCTTGGAGGTTCAGAGTTTTGAGGTTAAATGCTCAGAGGTTTGGAGTTTTGCCTACTGTTATAAAACCCGGTGATTCTAACTGGCTGATTAGGACGAGGAATCAAATAGAAATTTAGGACTGATCTGGTTTTGGCATTTCTCTGGCACATGTTCGCGTGAAAATGTTTTCTAGAAAGGGTGTGATTTCTATAAGGTCGACCTCAAACCCTAAACCTCTATTTCTTTAACAACAAAACCATTTCAAATCCAAAGCAGTGTGGTGGTCTGTGGATCGATCACCCTATAAATCTGGGTCGAAATAGTCGATCGACACTTGAATTAATCAGGATTAGTCAAAACCAATGGTTTAAAAACCGGATCGGTGACCCGGATCGGGCTTTTAAAAAACCGATCCGGATCGGCGAATCGGCGATCCGGATCGAAAAATCGGCGATCCGGATCGGAATCGGGTGAATCGGTCAGAATAAAGCTTCAAAAAAATCCGAAAAAATTATTAAAATTTATTATAAATATTGGTTTTTAGGAATTCAATAAAAAATGAGGGTACTCCATTAAGAATTTTCATGTTTTTGAATGAATATGCGAATATTGATATGTTCTTTCCCTACATGAACCGTCATTCAGCATTTAATTTACAGTA